TTAGCCTTAAAGACAGCAGTGTTTTATACGATCAGATACAACGGTGCGACAATAATCCCCTAGTTTGTGGGAGACCCTTACCAAGCTGACGTGTTTATTGTAAGACGTGTACATGTGAGAGGCCATCATCTCTGTGGTTGCTAGTTTCTGAGGCTGCAGTAGCGAGTTGAGGCGGTCCACGATGCTGATGTCCACCTCGGAGCGCACGGGGCCCAGCTCCACCTGGATCTCCGCCTTCCTCGGAATGGTGCTGAGACGCACCTGGCCGCCCTGCACAGAGAGGCGAAAGGTCAACAGCTTGGATGCCAGATGCCCATGCAGGAAAAGCATTTGAGCATTAGTGTTGTGGTTTCACATCAGTCTAATACAAGCAGTTACCTGAGGGCCTCTGCGCTCAGCCTGTTTGTAAAGCAGGTGAAGGCAGGTGGTAAGCGGTGCATCAGCACTGGCTGCAGTGTCAAATGTCAGGAGCTGAAGTGTGACAGAGAGACTAAAGTGAAATACTCTCAATGACAAGCCAGCTGCAGCTTTCAGGTGTTCCGTAAGGATAAGCAGTGTTCGACCAACCACAGCTTAGTGTTGCGAAAAATATGCTTAGCTCAGGCTTCAAAGTCTAACCTCGGTGTACTGAATTCCTCTTTGGGAGCCGCCAATGACAGCCTCAGAGGGGAACAGACACTCCAGAAACTCCATCTGGTTTAGGGAGATGTCGGTGCTGAACGTCCGCAGGCTAGATCCCTGACAGTGCTCATAGTTTATCTTCAGACCCTGGCCTACAAACCTGCAAAAAAAAAAAGCCCAGGTAAGACAGATTTGCACATACAGATCCCAACCCTGTCCCTACAAAAAGTAAGAAAAGACCTTACACAAGAGGAAATAGTGGAAAATAAAGCACACCTGAGGTGATCATGGGGACACGCCTGATCAAACACTTTTCGAGACTGAAGGAAAGCAGCCGGGGCGAGGTGTCCCGGGCCCACGGTGCTGAAGAAGTGTGCAGCCATGGGGCCGAGGGGACTGGGAGCAGCATGTGGCGGTGGCAGTGGGTCAATGTGGAGGACCGAGACAGCCAAACTACTCAGTGTCAACTTCAGCACCAGCTCTGGCCTTGACTCATCACCGTGGGTTTTGGATGGATGGGCTGAAATGCAACAATGAATACATCAGTCCAATGATAAGTCTGTACACACAAGGCCAAGAGTTTGCAGCTTATTATCTTCTGCTGGAATGAAAATAGCTTGATGTCTATGGACTTGTGTATAAATAAACTGTGGTGCTTACAGGTTTGCCTCAATAGTTTTTGAGGGAGCTGTGAATCCCTGGACTGGACAGGAGTTTCATTGGTCTGCTTCTCTTTTTGTCGTGGCACATCCATATAGTCCTCCCACAGAGCCTAGAAACACAGACATGATTCCATATTATGAGAACACCAATAATCAGGAATAACACAAACTAAACCGCCAATATTCACAATACGAGTTTGTTTAGCTCCTAATGTTGGCAGTGTAAAGATTGCATGCCTATGTCCTGTACTTTGTTAAGGATTTCAGGATTTTAACCAGAGCCCTTACTCTTCACCACATGCTATTGCTCGATTACATGCACAAAAGAATCCTCACTGTCGCATTTGCAGAGGGAGATTCTCCCGGGGAGGCAGAGTAGTTACTGTTGAGTGACAAGTCCAAGTCAACAGTGGGTGGTTCACCCAGGGGAGGGAGGGATGACAAGCTGTGAGACATGTCCATGTCAGCCATGGAGAAGAACACATCATCTACAGCAGCAACAAAAGAGAACAGTTTGCATTAGAGAGGTTACATAAGGGCATCTCATTTCCAAGAAAACGTAGAAGTTGCAGGATGGAGTTTGAGTCAAACCTCGACTTGACACGGTTCTGGTATTTTGGCTTTCGAAGAGGTCGGGATCCGCTCCTGGCACGGCAGTATCCTTCTTCAGACACCGATTCAGTTCCATATGGAGCCGGTACTCGTCCTCTTGCTGTATGGGGCGACTCTTTCTATCCTTGGTCCATTCCTGTGCACCTTCACATGAGGAGCGAGAAAACAGTCTGTTCACTCTATTTCCAAATAACTGATTTGGTGACACTATTTCCTTGTTTGGTGCAAATGTTCTTGATCATCTGTAAAGTGCTCACCTCCACCAGAGAAAGCTCCAAACAAGTCCAAAAGAAGATGAACTTGCCGGGGGGACAGCAGAATAATCAGCGTATCGATATGTCCGACGACGTCGAGCTGAAAAGCAAAGTATGCAAAACAGTGTGTGTAGTGGCAATACCCTAAGAACATAATGATAAACACATAATCAGGGGCCATTTTTTCTTAGAATATTTTGTGATATGGCTCATTTACCTTTGCACCAGGCATAGCGAGGTTGTTTTTCAGAGTGAGGGACAACTCAATTTTACCACCGAGGCTTCCGACCTGCACGGGTTCAAAGGGTGTTGTGGAGGACACAGGCTCTGTGAACTGTGGATGAGGCTCACATATTATTTTGGGATTCCAGCTAGGCGAGAGCTTCGGCTCCGTTTCCTGTAAAATAAGAGATACGTGTTTGAACAGACTTATACGTGCAGCTCCACAATGCTGAATTTCAAATACTTGCGACACCAACCGTCGGAGTCGGTGAAGATTTACAACCAGCACGAGACGCGTCTGAGAACTCGTCCCAGAACACAGTGATTCCTTCCATCTGCACGTTTTTATGCGCAAACGTGGTTGGCTGATGCACATTTACGCTTGAGCTGTCCTCATCCGTTTCATCGCAGTAAACAATCCTGAACACAACCACAAAATGCAATTAGCTTAACGGGAAGCTGCAGAGTGACGGTGAAAACTGATGCACATTTGGCTGCAGCCTGTTTCTCTTTTTTTTTTAATCTACTTCCCCTTATCTACATCTCCTCCATTCTGATCAAACAAAGATTTAAGAGAGGAAGCTGATAACAGATGAATGCTTTAACTAGATTTAAAACTTACTTGCTGATTCGAATCTCAAGAGCAATTCCAGTTTTGGAGTTTTCTGGAATGTGTTCGACTCTGAGAACAGTATCCAAAAACGTCACTTTGACTCGTCTTAGAACTGAAAATGAGAAAATTGAATAAATTATATTATTAAACCGTTTCAGGCTGTTAAAGTTGCTGAATGCTTAAACCAGCACAGATTGAAAAAAATAAAACGTACCTGTCTCTATCGTTTCTGCAAACTTCTCTAATCCTTCAAAAGGCTGGAAACTCTCTCCCATGTCATCGGTGAGTTTTTGGCTCAGACATTCTTTGGCGAGCTGCATGCTGCTTGTCATGAAACTGGACCAATACATGGGCTCAGTTCCAGATGCTAGAAGAGCAACAAGTCTTTTACTTTTTAGCACAATTAGTTGCCAACATGAGTATATGTAACACGTGTATTCAGACCCTTTCCATCTATGTCAACCCTGTTTCCCAGATTGTGCTATAATGACACATAAATCAGTATCTCCTTACCCACTCTCGGTCTTGGTCTGAGCACCATCTCCAAACCCTTGACCTCGAGGGCACAGTTTTCCTGCAGCAGGGCAGCCCATGGGACGGTGAGAGAAATTGTCTGGATGAACCCTGCGATTACCTCAAACGGGGCATCTGCCGTCTCTAGGAGCTCATTGAGTGACTGAGGGACGAGAAATAACGTTGAAGATACTGTGCTTAAATCAAATAAATCGATCTGCTTTAGGCACAAAGGTAACACGACACGTACCCATTTATCCAGAGGCACTTGTGCAAGGGACCCGGTGCCTTGATAAAGGTCTAAACTGAGTTGATCCAAGCTCAGCTTCTCCTGCAGAAAGTTGCCTAGGTACCGATGCAGGAGGTACCTGCAGGCCCGCTTCTTGATGGACTCCGAAAAGGGCCAAGGCATCTTAACTTAGTAGGTGAACAGTACACAGGTAATGAAAGGAATCTTGAGGCTCTGCAACTGCAAATGCTACTCAAACAGCTATGAATGAATCACTGGTGTTACAGTCGTGTCATCCTGTCGACTTGAAGACATCGAGAAATCGTGAGCTCAAACATCCTTTATATCCCAAGTTTAGGGACACTCTGGAGGATGTGTTGACACTCAGAGACGTGTGTGGGTGACGGTCCGACTCCAGTTTGCTGCGCCTACAGCACACACACAGGCGCACAGTGTCACTCTTTGTAATTTGACACTTGGCACAACATGTGACTTAACACAAAATATTGACAACACAACCGAAAACATCAAGCTCCATTAACCGCTAACACGCGATTCAAGACAGAGAAAGGTTTAATCTGCCCCCGAGTAGCGTTATAATACAGCACACCTGTCCAAATAACATTTGTGTAATGCTAACCGCGCGTTAGCCCCCCCTTACAGAGCCTCTGTTAACCTGCAAACCGTAGTTGCCAAGTAGCTGTTAGCATGCCACAAACTTGCCTGTCAACATGTACCCTAAGCTGTGTTTACTTAAACCCAGCTGTCATGGGCCGACGAGAGCTGCGCACTGACTCCTCTCTAGACAAAGGCATGTCATTTAGCTAGCTAGCCGTTTAGCACAAGTTAGCCTAGCTAGCTTATAAGCCACTGAATGAGGCAACATTAGCATAGCCGGCTAAGGTAGTAGCTACACATGCTTGCTAGTTAGCTATCGAGCTAACCTAAAATCTAACATTTCTCAAGTTATCCACCCTCATATGTCAAATGTAGACAGACAAAGACACGACACATACGTGCACCGGGTCCATACACCGACATGCATGCGTTAGTGAGCAGAACAGAGTGTATCAGTGCAGCTGATAAGTTACCTTCTGACTGAGTTGTTTACAAACACTTTCATGACTCCGCACCAACTGAGCTGCACACTCCGGGGAGGGATTAGCCGGTGAGGTCATAACATGGCGGAGCTGTGTGGTCCACGGGACACTCACTGGGTCAAGATTTCTTTAAGGTAGTTAATTCGTGTTTCATTACCCAGAAACACAGGGAGGAGAGGATTTTTTTTTACCCTCCTTGTGCTTGACCATCAATCTGAGCCGCATCCGATATCTATTCCACGGCCGGTGACGCAGGTTTGCCCGCTCGGAGTGGGCTGGAAGCTTCCACAAGCCGGAAGAACACGAGCAGCGAGGAGGTGAGAAAAATGAACGCAGTTTAGTTAGAAACGACTTTTTGTTAAGAAACAGAGATTGTTGTTTATTATTACACGTGGCATTAACGTGTTGTAACTTAGCAAAGTGGGCGACGTGTGTTTTTATGTATTTCTAGCTGAGTTTTACCCCAAAATGTAGCATGTTAGCATTTAGCTTCAGTGTGTCACTGCAGCTGTCTGTGGGGGCTTCACACGGATTCTAATATACTGCATGAAACTTTAAGCGTTTATTTAGTACAAAGTGTGATGACAGAAAGCAGTCGGTTCAGCTAGCAACACAAGGAGGATGTAGTCCTCAAGATGTCGCTGTGAATTTAAAATAGCCTCCTCCAGTGAAATGCCACATAAACAACCAGGCAACAGTTATTATAGTCCAGGAGCAACGTGTCTGTAATGATGTAATTCACTCAGGAGAGGTTTTATTCACTATAAAGCCTTGTATTTATGTTTCCTACAAATACACCCTCCACTTTTAATGTTAGTATTTGAGAGCTTTAAGATATCTCATCATGAAACATCAACCTAGTTTATATGTTTGTGTAAAAATGAATAACATGAGTCATGATTTTTTTATGTGGACTCTTTGTATTTAGGCCCCAAAGTATAAGAAAATGCACAAATGTTGTCTGTGATAGTGACTCACTTCATTATTTTTTATACTGCATTGTTTCGGAATATCAATATATATTTATACCAACATTTTATTTATGTATTTTTTATTTTTTATTGTATACATTATTATGATTAGATTTTTTTTATTTTTAATTAAATACTCAGTGAGCTTTTGAATTGCCCCTAGTCTATAAATAAAGTTATCTGAATTGAATTGAATTAAATTGAATATATCTGTAAAATACTTCATGCAGAGAATAATATCAGCTACGACAATGACCATGTGAATTTAAATTTTTACCTTCAAATCTTTGCTTTTTTTTTTTTTTCAAATACAGCATTTTCAGATTACTTAAACTTCAAGCTAAATGTCACACTAGGTCGTATGCTGTGTCTGTCTGTGTACAAGTTGATATTTCTTTAACTTAATTAACATTTTCAGTGTTGTTGTTTGTCATTGATCATTTTTTTTATTCCCATGTTGCTATGATCCAAAGACTCCCTCTGCTGAATGAAAGTGTACATGCCAGTAGGACTGTACATGATCATTTATTTCCACACAACTATAATTCTTTCTGTTAATTAGTTCAATATAGTGCAAAGGGTTCAGTCTATTAAATGTCTATAAAGAGTCTAAAGCCATTCTGATCAGCACCCAAAACCCAAAACAAACTATTCAGTATCTCTAAATCAAATCTGTCTAATCTAATAACAATGAGGCACTGTGTGCTGAGTAACAAATCATCATTCTGCTGATTTACTGTTTCGGGATTGAAGAGATGGGTTAAGATTGTAGAGAGCCATTGCTCATACAGGCATGCAGCCAGCAGAACGAGTGATGACGCAGCCAGATGTGAACCAAAAGCCAACAGCTGACATGCAGGAAAATGGCTCATGTGTTGTGTAACGCAACTGGACATAAATGAAGCGTGACAAGCTTGACAAGCTTCAACTTGTTCAACAAATTCACTGGTGCTAAGAAGCACAAACAGAGCACATTTAGCAGGTGTTGCTTTGAGTAGTTGTTAGTCTGAGTGTGTTTTTGTGGACGACATGGTCTGCTAGTTTGTATTTACTTAATATATTACAGTTATTGTACATTGTACATTTTGCATTTTATATTTTGTTATTGTTTATTTTTGCCTATTTATCTGTATTTATGGTGGTGGTAACTCTATCTATCTATCTATCTATCTATCTATCTATCTATCTATCTATCTATCTATCTATCTATCTATCTATCTATCTATCTATCTATCTATTGTACCTCTACACTTCTTCCTGGCATTAACGTTTACAGCAGCGGTTTGCTCGGCTATCAGCTTTCAATCTGTTTTGGGAACGGAAAGAAAAAAGCATCCAGCCAGCTCAGCATTAGGAAACACTGAAGACAACATTAGTCTTTGTCACGCACTGGACACTTTGGAGATTGGCTGCCTCGGTTAAATACAGCTGAACCAAGCAGGAAGCAACTAATCCAGTCTGCTAGCAGGAAACGTGCTTAAAAGTTGATTGGTTGATAATTGGCCTGCACTTCTGTGACATTCTTCTGGTCAAAGCAGCTTTATTTAGTTCAGGAAGTTGATGGAACATGACAGTGATTCCAACACTGACATCTTAAACTGGTTTAACCTTCCTTCATATGATCATCTCTTTATGCCAAAGGAGACGAAATACAAAAAATATTGTACTTTGCAGAAATGTCACGTGTTTCACTTCTGTTTTCAGATGCACGCTGTGACACACCATCACTGTGTAAAGACTACAGCTGAATCACAACCTTGCTGAGTGCAATTTTCCATTTTATGACCAGCTGTTATAGACGCAGTTAAAAGAAACCTGTCTTCTGCTTTATAACGGTTTGAGTTCTGCTAACAGTGGTGATAGTCTCTTGTTGCCATGACAGCAAAGAGCAACAGCGTCCCACTAACCCGGTCACTGAGGTGTACTCATGAGGATGTGGGGAACTCTTATCATTTTGGAATTCGACATATTTTAAAAGCATACAATAAAGTACGTGTGTGTCGATAAACACTGTTGTTGAACTGTGTTGCAGGGGATGGAGATAGACTGCCAACCCGAGGAGTCCATTGTCTCTGCTTTTGACGAAGACTGCGTCGAGCTGGGCGACGTGAAGGACATGAGACTGGAGGCGGAAGCTGTGGTCAACGACGTCCTCTTCGCCGTGGCTGAAATGCACGTGTCGCAAAGTCTCGGCAGCGCGTCCGACGTGGCCTACATCAATGTGGAAACCAGAGAGGGAAACCGCTATTGTCTGGAGCTCACGGAGGCCGGACTGAGGGTAAGGGGTGCTGATGGTGAGATGCGGTGGTTTCAATCACTGCAAAGCTGTAAAATAAACACCTCGTTTCTGCCCTTACAGGTGGTGGGCTACGCTTTCGACCAAGTGGACGAGGATCTGAGCACCCAGTACCACGAGACTGTTTACTCGCTCCTGGACACGCTCAGTCCGGGCTACAGAGAAGCCTTCGGGAACGCTTTGCTCCAGCGGCTGGAGAGGTTGAAGCAAAACGGACAGTGAAAAGGACCGAGATGCTGCTTCGGGTTTACCCGAGAAACAGGGCTTGATAATGTGGGTGTGAGCCAATAACAACCAAGTCTGATCAAATACTCCAACTGCATAGCTTCCTCTGTGATAAGGGCCTCACAGCCTCTATCAGCTCTGCTTTGTTCTGAGTTACATACCATCGAACGACTTCATGTTATTTACTTAAGTTCACAGACCGATCGGTTGTGACATCGTGTTGTTGGCTCTGCTGCGGGGAGAGCGTTCCTCGCAGGTTTGTAACAGTGCTGCACATTTTTTGTACTCATCAGAACGACGCGAGAACGAAGCAGCGAGTTGCATTAATCGCGATCCCCCTCCGCCCTGCTTGCACTACGGCTGCGATATCTGCTCAAATATACCCGACTAGTTGTTACTCAGCAGGTGTCTCTGTGAAAAAGAGCCAAAGCTACGTTCTTTTCAAGTATGTGCTGCCTTAATGACTGACTCCTAACGGAGAGAAAAGTGAACTCACTGACTTGTGTTTTACGTGCTTTGTATTGACAGATAACGGTATTCTGCAGGGCTGCTATTTCACACGGACAAGTAGGTCAGAAATTCTTTTAAAGCTCTGATTATATTGTAAAACATGGCGACACTGTGTATTCAGTACAAGTCATCGAGTTTGCCGTGTTTAAATATTGCTAGATTTGTTTTCCCTCCGTGCTGCAGTGCGTCGCATCTCAAGCTTTGCATTTCAGACTGAATCCTTTTTGGAAGTTTTAAATATTTTTTTTGTTTTGTTGTGATCTTATCTAAGTTGTGTCAGAGTGCACAGAGTTTGTTAATATTCAGTGATGACTTCTAAAGCTGCTTAAAAACATTGATTTCCTGTACACGTGACCTGGTTACTGTCCTACTTCAGTGTTATGAAAGCTACTCTACCTAGTTTGCATTGATACTGTCATCATTCCTTGCTGCTGGCCTTTGCTCAGACCAATAAAGTTTCAGAAGTATGTCAGTCTCTCTGAGGTTTGTCTCACGACTAACGATCTACAGATGTGGGACCGCGGACCAGACCACAAATCTGAGGCAGCAGTGAAAATACACTTTTACGCTGCTTGTGTTTTACTCAGTGATTTACTTCAGGCGGTCGTCACTCGTTAGTTTTCATATTTAGATGTCACAAACCACTCATGTGTCTCTCCCTGCTAAACTTCGAAGCTTTAAGAAGTCCACAGATGAAAATTATCCAGTATTTTACAAGCTTTGACCCTTTTTTTTAAACTCGCTCCCTCTCCCATATATGATCTTTGCACTCCTGATCTATACTTCTGATCGTATAAAGAGGCCTCCCCAGGAATAAACAACCAGCTCCACCTTGACCCACTACTGCAGCAAAAATCCACTTTCTGAAGTGTCATAATTATGATTTACCAGCTACAGGGGCCTATTTGCTCATAAAACCAATTTACTTTTCCCACAAGTAACCTTTTGACCGCAGGACTTTTTAACTTGTAGTGAGGTAGGACTTTCTGATGCTGGTGTTTAACTGTTAATGATATTAAGCTTCACTAGTGTTGAGCCGGGCTGCAAGGTGGCTCGGTGGTTAGCACCGTCGCCTCACAGCAAGAAGGTCGCTGGTTTGCGTCCCGGTGAGGACACCCGGGATCTTTCTGCGTGGAGTCTCCATGTTCTCCCCGTGCAGCGTGGGTTCTCTCCGGGTTCTCCGGCTTCCTCCCACACAGTCCAGAAACATGTTGAGGTTAATTGGTGATTCTAAATTGTCTGTAGGTGTGAATGTGCTTGTTCTTTGCTCTTCAGCCTGAGTCAGCTGGGATAGACTAGTGAGGCCCTAGTGAGGATTAAGCGGTGTATAGATGATGGATACTTTGCCTACAGTCCTACCGTGTGGCGGTACCAAACCAGACCGAGCAGAAAAACCTTCTGTCGCCGCTTCTGCATCATCTGTGGCTGCATTTTTACTGTTCAGACAAATACACGAGTTGCAAAGTGCAATGCTAAAAGGTTTAAATATGAGAATCACACAAATGCTACTTGCATACACATTTCTTTATTAGAATTTAATTACATATATTTGTTTGACAGTATCCAATTGCAAAAGTCGGGTATAACAAGGTCAGTAAGAAATATTACAAAACTTATAGTAAAGAAAAAGTACTGCATGTACCTTTTCTGACTACACAGCAGCCAGTGAGACAAGACATTTGCACTGCAGAGGAATGTATTCCAGGATCATTCGCACAATCGTAAACCTAAATATTTCACATTCACAGCTCTTAAAATTGACCATTGCACAGACAAAAAAAAAAAATATGTGTGCCTTGTATTTCAGTAGGATTTAAGATGCATGTGCAGCAAGTCTTGCAAACTAGTGAGGACATTTTAAAATAAGTTTGATGAATCAATAAAATTAGAACTTGCTTGAATCAGTGGCATCTTTTAGATCTGCTAAAAGCTGAATCCCTTTAAAAAAACAAAAAAAAAACAAAGACACTTGTCAGAGGTATGGTTGCTAGTTTGGCACAATATTAGACGATCTGAACTGGGAACTTGACGCAGAACAAGTCGTTTTTCTTGTCATCTTTCAGTTCCCACTCCACCACGAGCTTTATCTAGAAAAGCAGAAGAAAGCCGTCAGTGAACAAGGTACGCTATTTATTTCTTCGGTCAGAGGAAACGAGAGAGAAGAGAGGAAAAAAAACAAAACAATAGACAACGTAGGAGGAACTAACACTTCTGTCTGGTCACAGTAATGCAAGTGAAAATGGAGTCATAAGAAACTAGTCAAATGTTGACTCGACCTTCAGTCTGACTGCTCCACAATCCAAAAACATTCAGATTTCATTTATACGTGACACAGAAAAGCGTTGAATCCTAATATTTGAGAAGCTAGAAACTGCATATTTGACATTTTTGCTTAAATAAATAAGACAAACGATTATTCAGTAATCAAAGTGGCTACTGATCGAACAACTTTTACTTTTAGTTTTAATACTGAAGTAGATTTTCCTCCTACCTACATCTTTTCTGTATGCAGTCTTTTCTTTGCTGGACTTTTTAGTGTTGGAGTATTTAGACACAAACAGATCAGAGTACTTGCACCACTGCTTAAAGCAGACTGCAATCAAAATAAAATTACTTTTAAAAGTGTCTTCTACAAAAAGTTTTTTTTTTTTTTTTTTTAAGGCCTTAGCATTCTTTTGGAGTCTTACAGGAGACACCCTGCAGCCAGCTTTAGTTTCCAGCAGAAGTACAGAAATGGAAAATTATCATCAGTACGGAGAACCAGACTCTTTTGGTTACTTGACAGAAAAAACAACTTGAACAGAGACGTTAATGCACTACTTACTGTAGGGTACTCAGACTTGACCGGTAGCTCGGTCGCGTAGTGATAAACCTGCGGCTTGTGGATGGGACACTGGATTCCAGACTTGCAGCCGTCGGCGTTGGGAATGGCAAAGGGGACGGGGAGGCCGGCGATGATACCGTGAACCACCGCTGTGCTCGTTTGGCTCTCCACATCTTCAAGATAAAACACGGTGGTGAGATCAAATCTTATACAGAAATATGTGCATTATTATTTTTGATAATGGGAGAAGAATTTTAGTAAGACGAAGTCGTCTCACCACTGGTGAACGTCACGTTGACGCTGGAGGACTGGCCTCTGTGCAGCTTGCACGGCTGGCTGTCACAAGGACTTATGTCCACCATGGTCACTTTGCCGGAAGCTGAACCTGAAGAGAGATGTTTAAAAAGAAGCGCCTTTTAAAAACGACAAAGTAGACTGCTGACAAATCACTTTTTTAAAAAGCCATTAAACAAAATAATCCAGCTGGTGGTTTTATGATTCAGCAAGTCAAATATACTCCAAGTGTAGCATTTGCAGATCATATTTACTGAGGAATAAAGTAAATAGATTACAAAACAGCAACTTATCATTCCAGATTCTGTTAGAAAAGTGATCTCTGCAAGGCTTAATGTAACATGTACGGGGATTATCAGAGTCTTTTTTTCCACCACAGTCATGTCTGATCAATCAGGGAACCTAATTAAGTAGTGATCTACCACAGAGATTAGCTAATTTTAAAATGCACATGCAGTCAGGACAGGTGGTAATATGTGCTCATGCAGGCTCAGGTAGGAAAGGTGCCAATACTGATCTCAAATGTGAGGATTTTAAGTTTTTTTCTCTATTAAATTTTAACATTATTGGATTTTTAGGGTGTTTGCCAGCTTTTAGGAAATAGCGATGGATATTTTACACTTTTTAGATCAGATTCTTTGTCATTTTATAAACATACAACAAAATTTAAGTGCACCGTGCTCAATAAATATATTTAAAGTAGAAAAACATTAAAAAGTGAAAAATCTGAAGTAGAAATACATTAAAAGAAGTAATAACTGGGACACAATTCGCATTTTCTTGAGTATGGATTTCATTATACAAACAAAAAAAAGCCAAGACATTTATAAATCTATTTAAGCTGGAGGATCACAGGCTAACACATGAATGGAGGAACTCACCACAGTCAATGTACTTCACAGGTACAGCACAGGTGAAGCCCATCAGGCACAACACAACGATGAAACCGCTCCGAGCATCCATGTTTCGTTCTCTGTGAGCGTGGGTCACCCTACAGTAAAGGAATGTATTGATTAGGCAACAGATAGGTCAACTTCATCAGGGTAGTCAGCACAAAGCACTGACTCATATGACTTGTTGTTGTTTCCTCTCAAAGCAGTGACTAACAGTGACCGAACAGTGACTAAGAAGTTTCACACCACGACGAAGAAATACTTTACGACTACTTAAAAACATAGTAAACCACACAAACAGGAGTCTTGTAGTTAACAGAAGTATTGTGAATGGACATGCCGTACCTTTGAGGAGATTCCGTGTCAGTTTTCAGAGCCGCAACAACACCCTCCTTTTTATTTCCTTGTATCACGAGATTCAAGTGACGCCTATTCAGTAGGACTTGTGTTTTCACGCCCCAAGTGTTGCCTGTCAGGTGACGCCCTCTGTGTAAAGACACCGCCTTCTGCTCTGTCATTGGACTATCGGAACACCAGACATCAGACACGCCTCACCGTTTGTAAAGCTACACCTAAATGTCAGCAGTTGGGCGTCGCCTACAGCCTTGGAGGGCTGTGCCTGACAGACATAGCCGAGGTATCGCAATGTCCTTCACGCCCAGATCAAAACACAAAAGCTTATGATAGACAGCGAAAGTGACGAATAGAATGGCCGTGTGGGCGTATCCGTTTGATCGATAAGCATTTTAGCCAATAACAGGGCGTTTTGTTTGTCCTCGGTGGGTGGGGCGAAACTTACCAACATTTGTTATGGAAGATGTCATTCGTAAGAGGAGCAATGATAACTGCGTCGAAGTCAAAAATATTGACTCTTGCTAGGTAACGTTAACCTGCCGCATACCTAGATAGCATTATGGATTTCCCTTAATCAAAATATACCATTTTAACTACTTTGCTGGGGGTAAAAATAGCTTCGTGTTGATTTTTTGCCAGGTTGCTAGCAGGTTGGCTAACTAGCTAGCTAGCTAGCCCCATTGCTAGTAACATTACGAGTCCCCCTGCTGTCATGTGATAGATCTTAACGGATTGTGAATGTTTTGCAGGGCATCAGCTCGTCTCGGCAGCCTCAATGCGAGCGAACAGCTACACCGGCTTCCCCAAAACCCGCAGCCCGTCTACACAGCGGGGCTTCGCTGCTTCAGCAACGTCTCCGTCCAGGAGAAGCCCGGAGCGTCTGGGCCATCTGAGGATAAAGTGCACCTCACTGAGTCATGTGTGAAGGTCAGCAGATACCCAGGATGAAGCTCAGCACTGCTCTCCTGCCTGAGTTACATATTGATTGTCCCATTTTCTGTGTAAAACCTCAAAAAAGGCAAATCTACGAAGACTGTGGTTATGTGAGGTTTTGCACTAAACGTTGTGTATCCAGGAAATGTGCCTGTGAAGAAACAAAAACCTCCCTTAATGTACTCCCATTATCAACATCTATCTAGTACCAGCAATGTCGTTTATCTGATTAAAGTCTAAGGAGCAAAATAATGTAAATATCGTGAGCAAAAGTGATGTGGAACTGTTTCATCCTTTCACTTGTCAACAAAACTTCATGGTGTGCTGCCATAATTGACATCTGAGACATTTAAATTAGGTCTTAGAATCAGGTTAATGTTCTGTTTTTGTTTTTTTAAACCAATTCCTAACATCACATTAATATGCTATCATTTGGCTGCCCATTAAGGCTCAACAATATTCCAAAAACACCTAGAGGAGGTGTGATTTCAGTGGGATTTGTAATTTCTGCGTTTCTTAGTCTATCCCAGCTGACTCAGGGTGAAGACAGGTTCACCTGGACAGGTAACCAGTCTATCACAGGGCTACACTTAGAGACAGACAACCAAGCACACTCACATTCACACCTACGGACAATTTAGAATCACCAATTAACCTCAACATGTTTCTGGACTGTGGGAGGAAGCCGGAGAACCCGGAGAGAACCCACGCTGCACGGGGAGAACATGGAGACTCCACGCTGAAAGATCCTCACCTTCTAGCTGCGAGGCAACAATGCTAACCACCAATCCACCCTGCAGCCCTAATAAAATCATGACCAGTCAAAATGCCAATAAGAAACCTCTCGTAGCACTTTGAGTTTATGATTTGGCAGTCTTCAATATCTTTAATTATCTTCGTCTTTGAACAGTTTGCAACTTCCACTTTTAGGATATTTTAAATGCAATCAAGGGAAAATAACAAATATCTTTAGCTGTCATCTGATGTGTGATGCACTGAAGGATTCTGAGCATCAGTGAGTGAGTTTAGATGTAGAAAATGTAATTATGAAAAGTCAAACTGTGCCTCATGTATCATGTTTATGTAATTCAGAGACTCGGAGAGATCATGGAGAAAGGTGAATTCCTGAGAATACACGTGGAGGGAGGAGGCTGCTCCGGCTTCCAGTACAAGTTTTCTATTGACAGCAACAAGAATGAGGATGACAGGTAAACTGTGTTCAGGTTTTTGTTCTAAGCCGGCCTCCTTGTTGTCCAATCAGCTCTATTCACTCCTGCATCCACTCCGCTCCGCTTTCAGAATGTTCGAGCAGGAAGGAGTGGGCATTGTGGTGGACCAGGACAGCCTGGAGTTCGTGAAAGGAGCCACCGTGGACTTCAGCCAGGAGCTGATCCGGTCCACCTTCCAAGTGCTCAAGAATCCTCAGGCTGATCACGGCTGCTCCTGTGGCAGCTCCTTCTCTGTCAAACTATGATTCCCTGCTTCAGTATAACTCAACAATCGGATTTAATAGTTCAAATATTAGAGGTACTTCTCTAACGCTGACACAACAGGTGTACCTAATAAACTGGTAACTCAGAGCATTATATCAGCCTGTCTATAATATGTTGAGTTCCTCATCCAATTCACTATAAACTACATCCAGTGACACTGAAACTGGTAGATAATACCTATTTTTTGCTTTTTTTGCATGTGAAAATGACTTGAACCGAATGGACAGCAGATGCATTGATTGATCAGGGCACTATCTAGACATAAATAGATAACCAAAGCTCACAAAATTCCACTGTAAAGGCTCATTTTAAATGTTTGAGAATCCTGTGTGTAGACTCACCTTTATATGTAAAATATGTAAATAGGCCATAAGTATAAAGTTCAAAGCTATATTATATGTGTTTCATCTGGAATAAATGGAGTGAATTTAAAATGTTCAGTTGTTTCAGTGTGTTACGTACAAACTGGTTGTGTTCAGGTAACACATCACATCAGTGTGTCTGCAGCATGTTGTGGCTGCTGCAGCTTTAAAATACTTTATATTCTGTTTTAGAGACAGCAGAGGAATGTGAGAGGAAATAAGAAAAACGTTCTGCAACACAAATCTGTTTTCAGTTTCTGGACTTTTCTCTAATCTTTGCCTCTGGTGAGATACTGGATCATTTTCATATTTATTAAAATGAAACCATGAAAGAAGGTTGGAGGGAAAAACACACGATATTGTGGAAGCGACACTCTGATTTTTGTAAGAAGCTAGAAAAGCTGGAAAGTTTTACCTTTAAGAATGTGTTTTAAAAGCCTGTAGTGTTTGTGTAAAATCTTAAAGGTGTGACTCAGGTGGTAGAGCCGGTTGTCCTCCAATTGCAAGGTTGGCGGTTTGATCCCC